GGTTCACTGCGGTTTGAGAAAATACTCAGCAATGGTGCTGATTTATGAATTTGCACATGGTTTGTCTTAAAGCATATTAAAAACACCACACTTTAAAACTTGATTTTCACCACAGGCGTCTTTAAGCAACACACTACAGAATCAAACTGTATCGAATATGACTACAGCTGTTTTAAATGCTCTTTCCACATACGTCTTGAGTACTGGGCTATAAAGTTGCGAAGTGAAGTCTGCATACGTGTTTCTAAAGGCATGAGTCATTGAGACTTTCTGACAATTTTGATTTCATTCATTTATTGTCCTTTGCTACTGATAACAATGGGACTGGCTAACTTCATAACCCATACTGGGAATTTCCAGTCTTTCCATACGCTTTTATGCTGCTATCAAATGGCACTTGACATAAAGTAAGACAGAAGCCTTATTAATCTGACCTTCAGGAACAAAAGTTCAGTGGGGTTCCACATAGAAGGGGTCTTCACTCAATTTTAAAGAACACTTTATGCCAAAAAGGTGCTATATAAACAGAAATGCCTTGAATGACTGCATAACACTTTCATTTTTAATAGTTAGGCCTATATTAATTTTACACAGGTTTCACAGACAAGGCTTATTAACCGTCACCCCTTTTTTAATAGACATGGAAATGCACATGACATTTCAAACTTGGTTATAATTCAAGAATGCTTTGGAATATAGACGTAAAGTTGGTCTTGTTTTAAAGAAGACATTTGGCAGATTTGTTTTGAAGTGAAATAAATTAAGAAAGTGAAACAGAAAAAAGTTATAGAAGTTTGAGTTTATGGAAATATACAATTTATATGTTATATATATATGGGCTACTCTAAAACTGCAGAAAAATCTAAGCCAAAAATCTGAACAAGTTGTGTTTAAAATTTTAGGTTTCTGTGAGTTTTTGTTTGGGTGCAGTACTGAACGCTTCCACTAGGGCACAACCAGACTCCATTACTGCCCATATAAGGGTGCCTCCATTTCCATATGTGTTTTGGGTGATATGAACCATCAATTTTAATACAATTTATGAAGTAGAGATCCTATTCAGAAGTAGCATAGGAAGTTTGGCAGATTTTTATATTAATTCAACCTCTAAGAAACACATACAAAGAACACGCGTGTGCGTTATAGCTCCCTGCCACATCACAAACGGTGAATTTATTATTTTTTTCCTTAATATTTAAAACATTTTCAGACCTTTTTTTTCTAAAATAATTGAATGGATACAATAGAACTCTTGGCATGAAAACAAACTGAGATTTCTACCTTTTTTTCATGATGTTCATTTGCTATTTCAAAATAAAGGTCTGAACACGCCTTATGAGTATGAAAATATTCTTGTTGTAAATTGATAAATTACGCCTCCTATGTATTTTATTTTGAAAATCAGTCACCAAATATGGAAACTAGAGATTGTAAGCTTTCAAATGATATCTAGTTTGTCATTATTACTTCCTTTTCTAAGATATTATTGTTTTAAAAATATAATGGCAAGCATCCCACCAGTGGGGCGGTGACAGTTAACTTAATATAGTCCCAGATTAAATGCATGTTTGAGCTGTTTTAACTGAAAGCAACTTGCCCTGAAATATCTTAAAATATCTCAGTGAATTGTTTAGTCTCAAGATGCACACCCAAATGTTTTTTTCTAAGGCATGTTTATAAAAGGTACTTTATCCTGACTTAATCTAAGCCCTGTCTGGGAAACCAGGCCTTTTTCTAGTGATAACGTAAGTTTATGAGCGGTTTTAATCAAAATAAAAAATTAATATTAAATCCCTAAAATGATGGGAACCCCTAAAATGTTCTTGAAGTGCTTGTCAGAACCCTTTAGACTTCCATATAAAACCTTTTCTTCTGAATCCAGCAATTTAAGGATAAATAGATCTCAAATCATTGCTGGATTCAGAAGAAAGTGTTTTCTTCATGGGAAAACATGGAGAGGGCAAATTTTCAGGTTTTACTGACACATGGCTCATTTGAACTCTGGCATAGTTGGTCAAACACAAATACAAACACAGAGTGGCATCTCAAATCCTTGCGCATTCAGTGTTGTGAGATTGAAATTTGGTAAAGGCCAATTAAACAAGTTTGGCTGCAGATTGAGGTGTTGTCAGTTTTTAGAAGCTGCTAATAAAAAGAGACAGAGAAGTCATCCAAGATGTGGCTTATAAATTAACTTTAATGTTATCTTTAAGCTTTATGATGGTTATTTTTAGTTTAGAAGAATGACACATCCTTGGGAATGTCTTTGTACAAGTTGTACTGTAATCAAGAAGTAGATAAAACAGCCCTAAAGTGAACATCCGTTCCTTTTAATAGAGGTAACAGGTATTTTTGCCTATAGTATGGACTAAATAACATGACTATAGCTTATATTTAATGAATGTGCAGAAATAGCCCATTTAATGACCATGTTTAGTCTAATAATGGATGCCTCACCCGTAAACAGCAAAAAGGGGTGTAGTACTCGTATTATTGTTGAATGCTTTGTGCCATAGGGAATCTTTAAGGGCAAAACAAGAGATTGTCATGCTTACACACAAATTGGTATTGTTCCTTTCTGTTGCATTGCAATGTGAAGTGTATGTAAACTGAACTTTGTCACCCTGTAAATAGGTTTTATCATTTACTGAACGTGTACTTTGGCTCTAGCGTGGCCCTAACTGCATATCGCTGGCTAATTGTAATGAAAGCATTATGCAATATGCTCTGTTGTTTAGAAAGGTTTGAGCTTTAGGTCAGAAACACACATGTGGCTTTTGTCCTTGAGTAAAGCTTCAACAATTTTGCCAAAAACTGTCTTCTATTTAATCTAGTGCAGTGAAACAAATTGATACATGTCTATAAATATCAAGATGTGGTATTGTTTTTGAATGCACTAACTTCAGTTGCCGCCTTGCGTTAAATATTAAATCAATTTTGCCTAATTGAATTAGAAGTTGAAATTGGAGTTAAAGTAATGGAAAAAAATATGTTGCCTTGACTTATTGATGATATAATTTTTTTTAAACAATGACACTTCTTGGTAATGAGAGTTTGATTTATGAGTTTAAAAAAATTGGTGTATTCGAATTGTGTTTATATATCCATATCGGCTTTATCAGCTGTTATTGTAGGACTTGCATAACTTAATTGTATTTGGTATGAATTGTTTTGTTTTATTGTTTGAAAACAATAATTCAGACATCCTTCAAAGCTGAGCTCCACTATCACACATAAATAATGAATAAAACTAGAGTGGTTTCTGAATCAACAAAACTTCACATGATGTTGCTGCAATGTTTTCAGCTTCTTTTGTTGTCTTCCTTGTTGTGGCTGGCAAATAGTTGGACCTTAAGTGTGGTTTTTTTTGGCATAAGTTCTCAGTAATTTTTTTATGCATGTTGTTGTTATATAAAATATGTTAAATTAAAATGTCTAAATCTTAATGTCATTTAACATCCCTAAATGCACTTCTGTTTTCTGAATAGTTATACCCATTTGAACCCCTACAAAACATTTTCTTATATATTTTTTTGATGTTTCATATCTCAGTGTAAAAGTTGATCCATCATAATTTCAATCCATGCTCGATCATATTCACAAGAATGGAGCTAGTGGTCATATTTGGTTTTCCACAGTTGCTTAATGGTTTAACAAAACACTCTTCAGTTCACATGAATTTTAAAAGCTTTTTTTAGAATTGATATGAGAAGTGAAAGTCATATGTGTTAAGTATAAAATAGGAGAACTGCAATTTCTAAAGAAGTAATTTGGTGATATGGTATTTTTATGAGTATTCAATCAAATATTCCTGTTTGATGCTGATACGACCAGACAGGCCAAATAATTAATCTCTAGGTAAATCCAACGTTCTTGTTGAAGTCACTGTTATGGAAATCGTTATCCATGTAGTTGGTGATGGTAAATTCACTCCCTTCCAGTTCCAGATCTGGCGATGCCATTGGAGTTAAACTAAAACAAAATGGGGCAGTTGCACAACCTTCCTCCTTTTTATTTCAATCAGTGTTTTTATTATTTTACATTTCTGTATTTAAAGGGTTAGTTCACCCAAAAATTAAAATTAAGTCATTAATTACTCCCCCCATGCTGTACCAACCCTGTAAGACTTTGGAACACAAATGAAGATATTTTTGATTAAATTTGAGAGGTGGATCACTGCTATAGATGCTCCTATTAGGGATCAAAACTTGACCGCCCAGAAAGTCAATGAAGAAAATGTTTAAATATTCCATGTGACTTGATAAACTTGTACTTGAGTCACTGTTCACTCTCAGAAAAAAGGTACAAAAGCTGTCACTGGGGCTCTACCTTTTCAAAAGGTAAACTTTTGTCCATTTTAGGTGCTAATATGTACATCGTATGTGCTAATATGTACCATTAAGGTATGCACCATTTATGTACAAAAGTGTAGGCTACCCTTTGAAAAGGTACAGCCCCGGTGACGGCTTTTGTACCTTTTTTTTCTAAGAGTGGGAATATTTAAACATTTTCTTTATTGACTTTCTGGGGCGTCAAGTTTTGATCCCTTAGGGTGCCTATGATGTAGCAGTGATCCACCTCTCAAATGTACTCAAAAATATCTTCATTTGTGATCATTTGAAGACGATCGAAGGTCTTACGGGTTTGGTATAGCATGGGGGTGAGTAATTAACGACTTAATTTTCATTTTTGGATGAGCTAACCCTTTAACTGGCAATAGCATGTCTAAATGACATAACTGTTGGGCAAGTTATACTCCTTGATTTTGAGAAAAACAAACAATTGAACTTGTCCGAGTGTGGTTTTAGAGGGAGCAGACCATTTTAAGTCCAGCAAAACCAGCTTAGACTGGTTTAATGTTTAGTTTTTTCAGGATAAAACTTGACAGACTTTAGGACCCAGCCATTCGTCTGCTACAATGATGTAGCAGACCATCTTAAACCATTTAAGATAAGCAAAACCTGCTTAGACTAGTAAATATGTTCCCCCCAGCATACTTTGAGACACATGCATTCATCTGCTACAACACATCCGCTACACTTTACATTGTAACATTCTTCACTCTTGTTGTTACATTGGAACGTTCGATTTACGATCTCGTCCGTTACAGTGTTTCGTCCGTCGGTCAGTCAGTGATACTTTGTAACAGTTTTCCTGGTTCCGGTCATTACCAGCTGCGACCGACAGAGGCAGTGCTGAGTTACAGACTACAGCAGAGATACAGGCAGAGAATATCACATAGAAAAAAACACAGAGAGGGCGAGAGAACCGAAGAGAAGGGAAGAGCGCCTGGCAGGGGCTCACAGAGACCCCCGGATCCAGATGCAAGTTCATATCCCACCTTACCGATCGATATGTGATCAATTTTATCAATCCCGTCGCTTGAATGACGCCCGGACTGCTTGAGACGTTGTAACGGAGGAGAAACAAAAACCTTCCCGGCGACCTTTTTTTTTTCTTCTTCTTTTCTGTCTATTGTGGATCATTTTCTCTTTGGAATCGGAATTGGATTGATCATTCATAAGGACAGCGCACATATTGGCTTCGAGGGAGTAAGATGGGGTGTTTGGGGAGCAGTAAAACCGAAGACCAGCGCATCGACGAGAAAACACAGCGAGAGGCCAACAAGAAAATAGAGAAACAGTTGCAAAAAGAGAGACAGGCTTATAAAGCCACACATCGACTGTTGTTGTTGGGTAAGAGAAGACTTGAGGCGTTATAGCTGACATACGAGACCCATCCGAGGCTGTGTGTTTAAACGCACCGTGTTTGACAGCTCAATCTGGCATGTCGGATTGGACATATGAAGAACACACACCGTGATATCTGAAGTATATCTGAGAGACTTTGCATGTATTCTCACTGCTGTTTTTCGTTGCTTTCGTAGGGGCTGGTGAATCGGGCAAAAGCACTATCGTGAAGCAGATGAAAATTCTTCATGTCAACGGGTTTAATGCGGAGTGAGTACATGTTTACTGTACTAATGTCACATATGTGTGCATGGAAGGGCGGTATATGAAGGTTGGGCCCTGTGTTCAGCCTCGGCATGGCGAAGGAAACACTCGTACATGCTGAAGCTGATAGTGATGTAGCACTGCGTGCTATCGGCTAGTGCTTCACTGCAACATCACTGTTAAATGGTCATACAGAATCTGGATGGAGGTAATGCATGGCTGAGAAGTGACTAAAATCAATTACCAAATGCTCACCAGGCCTATGAGTGTTCAAGTTTCTTAAACGGGTTTTGCATCCTAAAAATATGTCTAAATGACATAACTTTGTTTGGCAAGTTATGCTTGAATTTGAAAAATACATATGTATTTATGGTCAAACTTTAGATTAGGGTCCAATTCTCACTATTAACTATGACTTTTTGCCTCAGTAAACTCCTAATTACTGCTTATTAATAGTTTGTAAGGTAGTTGGTACCTTTTGGCACAGTATTAGTTAGGAATTGGGATGGATAATCTGTGCTTTATAAGTGGTAATAAACAGCACTGGAAAAAATATTGTTGGTTTAACTTAAAAAATTAAGCAACCTGGCTGCCTTAAAATTAAGTTCATTGAAATGGAAAAATTTAGTTAATACAATGAATGAAGGAGATTGATTTAATCATCAGAAACTCAAAATATTATGTTACCTGAACTATTTAAGTTGATTTGACAAAAGAAAAAATGTTGCAACTAGTTTCTAGTGAGAATTAGACCCTAAACTAAGGTGTTACCATATATATGGGGGGAAATAATAAGTCAATAAGTCAAGTTTAGCCAAAAATGAATATCGTAATGTCATTCCAGTCCGTATGCTGTTTTTTTTTTTTTTTTAATGTGCAACACAAAATGAGAATTTGTGTCCAACTCCAAACTATATTTATGTTTCTAAGTGATCAACATGACATTTCAAGTCTTCTGAAGTCATATGATAGCTGCATTTGAGGAACTGTCTGAAATTTAAATCTTTCCATTCACTTCAGCTGTCATATTTCATGAAACGTCACGTTAGGTGGTTACGTTTTGCCAGAAGCAATGATGTTTGGCATCAATAAGTTTCAGGCTGATTCTCACACTAAGCCATCACATGTCTTCTGAAGGCTTGAAATATAGTGCACAAGTCATACATAATGTTTTTGTTGTTGTCCTTATTTAAAAAAAAAAACATAACACACACATACAGGTTTGGAATGACACGAGGGTGATTAAAACCGTGACAGAATTGTTATTTTTGTGGTGAACCATTCCTAGAACGAGGTGTACAATTCAGCCTTGCATTTTATTTGACTAAACTGAAATGTTTTCACTTGTAGGGAAAAGAAACAGAAAATTCAAGACATTCGCAAGAATGTAAAGGACGCCATCGTGGTAAGTGAGCCGTTCTCAGTCCTGATTTAGTTTCTCGAAGTTTTCTATATCCAATCTCAGTCTCATGAGAGCTCATAACCCTTTCATTTTTATTTCTAGACCATAGTGTCAGCAATGAGCACTTTAATACCACCCGTCCCACTCGCTAATCCAGAGGACCAGTTTAGGATCGACTATATCAAAAGCATAGCGCCGCTCTCTGACTTTGATTACACACAGGTAAGGAGTCTCATTTTCATCATTTACCTAAGATGCTTTCAGTGACATTTGAATTTGTGTAAATGTGATGAGGTTTTTGAACCGCTTACCGAGAGGTTTTCGGACTCTTTTGCATGATTGCAGCTTTATTAAAATTATGAATTGGTCTTGGTCTTTTTTTAAATCACGTACCTGAGGTAAATTGAGAGTTTGGACGTGTTTCTAAGGAACGTTACTTTATGGATTGGGAAGATAGATGCTGACTGCTTTGTTGTTGTTTGAGTTTGCGATTGGTAAATATTACAATTTTTAAGAATATGAATAAGGCCCAATAATTTTATCAGCAAGTATGGGAAAAAGTTCTTGCATTTCTAGCCTAAGTAACGTTTTAATGCATTTACAGACATGCTCAGTTAGCATTTTCTTTGTATGTATATTATTTTACACACATTTTCAACAGTACTCAAATTATTGTAGTTATATTGAATGCTAGTCAAAGTGAATGTTTTTTTTAAAATTATGCATACTTTAACATGATTAGCATGTTGCTACGATAGCTTGCGTTCAGTTTTTGGTGTGTCATGCATTGTTGTTGTATCTGTGGTTTGTGAGCACATCAAGTCAAATTAAACCACAAGCTTTTTATGTTAAATTACAGGTTTGTGAGAAATATTTTGAGTTTATATGTAGGATTTAATTTCGAAATTGACTAATCCAGGAGGCCTTGACTAATCCACGGGACAGAGAAACACAATGTAGGTTTTCACATTAAATAAATGCATCAATTGCTTTTAGTTATCAAAAACTCTATAAATATAGTATTTTTGAGATTGTCAGTGAGTGATTTTTTTGTAATGAAGTTCCTGTCTGGCATAGGTTTACTCAAACCGATATTTTTACCAGTCATGGAAAAGTTGTCGATGTCGTTTTCTTCCAGTGAAAAATGAAAAATCCCATTTGATCTGAAACTGACACTATTAAGTTCTCTCTCTCTGTCAAACTGATGCAGTGCTAGGCTAGCTTTAGCTTAGCATATGTTTCTGCTGTGCTTGAGTTTCATTTGTTCGCTTTAGACCGTGTGCAATGGGGTCAGTTATTTTCATTATGATTTTGTTGTGATATTCTAGCACATTTGACGCCTTTGCAGAAAAGTGTTCAGCCGTCTTCAGCCTGTGACTTTTTTGATTGCACAAATGTTGGCTCTTCTTTTTCAGATTGTCGTTTTTAGACCGTGTGGACTCTGCTTGAAATGGAGATCTGTAATTAGACCGTTTTAGACCCCAGATCTTTTCTCAGCTCAAATTAAGTCCTGGATTTCTCTTTAATTAATTTATGGCAGACATCTATACTCACCGGTGAATTCATACATCTTAAAATGTTTTGACGGTTGGATTGTAAATACTGGAACTTCCAGAAAGTTCAGTTCTTATTTAGAGAGTAGTTTTCTGTTTACTCTTGGGTTCAACAGGTGATAGATACAATATTGACTGCTAACATGCATTATTTGTTTATCTTAAATTTGCATAAAATTTGCAAGATCACACTGGAGGAAGTACTGAATCCAGATAGAGATTTCAGTAACACTTTACAATAAGGTTTCATTTAACTGCATTAGTTAGTATGAACTAACAAGGAACAATGCTTCTACAGCATTTATTAATCTTAACTAATGGTAATCACAACATTTACTAAAATATATTTAGTATCTGTTATTATTAGTTTATGCACTGTGAACGAACATGAACATTTTTTAATCATTAACATTAAAGATTAATGAATGCTGTAAGAATATATTGCCCATTCTTAGTTAATGCATTAACTAATGTTAAATGAATGGAGCCCCTAAAGATGGGAGGAAAAATAATAGGTCGTTTTTTGGGGAATGCAAAAGTTTTGTGAGAAAACGCAAAAACAATGGTATATATATATATATATATATATATATATATATATATATTTTTTTTTTTTTTTTTTTTTTTTTAAATCACCATGTCTCTTTAGAGTCTCCGTACAAATGAGTCCTTGTTATGAAGTAACTTATAACAATGAGATTTCAAACATTAACACAGAAAGAACTGTTCCTCTGCTGTTACTTCCTTCAATAGATATTCAGTGGTTCATAAAAAATATTTTTACATTTTTCTACTCCAAAATATTACAAAAAGTCCAAGTTTTAGGTCGACGCAGACAGCAGAGAGTAGACTGGACACAGGATTGTTACATACATGTGACATGCTTATTGTTATTATGTGCAATAAGTACTGGAAAGTTATACTGACGTTAAAATCACACTTACTTTTTAGGTAATGCTACAGTAAAACACCGCTCTTCACTTTCAGAAGTTGTAGGGATGCTTTCTTCACGCAAAAAAGAATGTGAAACATTTATGTTGGTTATTATATAATTTTCAGGTTAACTAACTAAAGTAGTCTTATTTGTTTGCAACTTTAGCTTTAGCTTAGCTTTATTTAGCTTTATGTAAAGTTGCAAACAACTAAGAACAGAAACTAACATTTGAATGCTTACATGATGAGATGTGTGATCAGTAAGTCTATTTCCAGAACAGCCAAAAGGCTTTTAACCAAAACACATTTTATGAATGTAGCTGGAAGTATGTCGTGGTATCAGTTCAAACAATCGCTCTTAAATGAAGTGAGGCAGACTTGGTTCTAAAAATGGTTGCTAAATTCAATGTTTTAGGTTTTATAAACGTATAAACATTGATTTATTTTTGTCCTCAGGAGTTTTTCGACCATGCGAAGAAGCTCTGGGATGATGAAGGCGTTAAGGCGTGTTATGAACGGTCCAACGAATATCAACTAATCGATTGTGCGCATTAGTAAGTATACGTTTTATCATAATAGTTCACTTTAATTGAAACCTATGATGATGATGCTGGCATAATTCAAATTGAAGTTGATTGCATATTGCTTAAGATGCAGCTGCAAAATGTCTTTTTCTCTGTTGATATTTATGATATTAGCACAAATAAGAGGAACCACTGGTACAAATAATTAATCACAGCTATTATTCACGGCCCGTCATTTGGTTTTACTGATGTTTTTAACAGAATCTCTTAAAGGGATAGTTCACTTTGAAATTATTTTTTGATATGTTTTAGCTTACCTTTAGTCTTTGTTTCCACAGTATTTTCAATTTTGATATTTTTAGGTCAAACTGTTCTTGTCTGTCAGTCATATAATGGAGGTCTATGGTCACCACCTCAAAGAGCGTGCACAGAGAAGTCCAAATTAAACATGATTTAATGACTCGTAAATGTAAGTACACATTGATGGCCTAAGACACGAAACGAGCGGTTTGTGTGAGAAAACGAACAGTATTTATATCGTTTTTTACCTCTTGTAATCACAGTCACGTCCAAGTACTCTGAGGACGTGGGCGCTTTGGTCTGCGCTCGTTGCATTGATACACATTGATAACCGCTCGTTTCGTGTCTTAGGCCATCAATGTGTACTTACATTTATGAGTCATTAAATCATGTTTATTCTGGACTTCTCTGTGCATGCTCTTTGAGGTGGTGACCATAGACCTCCATTATATGACTGACAGACACAAACGGTTTGAGCGAAAAATATCAAAATTGAAAATGCTGTGAAAATGCAAAGACACCTGCATCTTGGATGCCCTCAAAGTGAACTATCCCTTTAATCCGAATTGTATTTATCCTGCGGTTATAGTGTGCTAATGTAAATCTAAAGGGAATATATTCAGTGTACATTTCAAGACTCGGTATGAGCTTGTTCAAAAGTTTGGGGTCGGTCATGATTTTTGCCATGATTTGTTTGATTATAAATAGGGAGATATTAATATTATGATTTGAATATATTTTAAAATGTAATTTATTGCTGTGATTTTCAGCATCATTACTCCAGTCTTCAGTGTCACATGATCCTTCAGAAATCACTCTAATATGCTGATTATAATTATCAATGTTGAAAAGAGTTGTGCTGATATTTCTGTGGAAACCGTGATACTTTTTAAATAATAGAGAATCCTTAAGAAATAAGTTCAGAACAACAGGATTTACTTGAAATCTGAATCTTTTGTAACAGGTATTTATTGTGACACTAATTTGGATAGGTTATCTAACTGACTAGTTGATTAGTAAGGCAAACTATTGTTGTTGTGCAAGTCACTGACGGCGCTGAGCTTTAGCTGTTTGACAGTGTGCATTGGAAAACATTCTTGGAAAAGTTGGATCTGTAAACCAGTTCAGACAAACAATGAATTAGTCCGTTTTGCAAATATGTAGTTTTGCACATCCCTGTAAGGAACGTGCCTGATCAGGTTCAGAAGAACCTTAAACCAACCTATTTATTCAAAGACGCTCAGGCAGCCGACTACAAACATGTCGTATATGTATTTAAGTTTCTTTGCCTTTGAAATGGAGACGTTCTAGGTGCGTGAACGTGTTTTTACGTCCACTGTTGGCTTTTTTAGGCCAGTGCTGACGTTTGTCCTGTACAACAGTGGCCGTGTGTCAGGTATGAAGTGTGAGGAGGGTGGTCGGGTCATGGGAGTTGGTCAGCCGCTCTGTAGGACGCAGATACCATCACCAGCTAGTGCAGGGCCTGACACATAATGGCGACTGTTGTCTCTCAGTCAGAAAAGGCCCGGAGATACTCGGAGAATCACACAGACACCCAGCTGCTCTCAATACAGGCTTGTTCTTTGTGGAAGACTTTTACAATACTGAGAATTCCTCTGTTATACAACTTCGAATCAATGTCTGCTCAGATATGTTTGCTTCGATCCAGGGGTGTGCAGTCGTCGAAACTTTTCAGATAAATCTAATTGCTTCCACTTTGTTGTACTTTGGCTCCGCAGAAGTCGCCCTCATGATTCTGGAGATGCGCAATTTATCTAAATAAAACGGAAATCGCGATTAAAATAAATAATACATTCATTTGTGAACACAACATGCGGCAACAATCTTCCCATGCCTGTAATGAGAGGTGCTTATCCACAAAAGTGAAGCTTTACTTTGAAATTAATTTTTGATATGTTTTAGCTTACCTCAAGGGCATCCAAGATGTAGGTGTCTTTGTTTCCGCAGTCGTTTCAATTTTGATATTTTTAGGTCAAACCGTTCGTGTCTGTCAGTCATATAATGGAGGTCTATGGTCACCACCTCAAAGAGCATGCACAGAGAAGTCCAAATTAAACATGATTTAATGACTCGTAAATGTAAGTACACATTGATGGCCTAAGACACGAAACGAGCGGTTTGTGTGAGAAAACGAACAGTATTTATATCGTTTTTACCTCTTGTAACCACAGCCACGTCCAAGTGATCGGAAGTGATATCTCGATATCGTGCTTACATTTACAAGTCATTACATCATGTTTAATTTGGACTTCTCTGTGCATGCTCTTTGAGGTGGTGACCATAGACTTTCATTATATGACAGACAAGAACGGTTTGACCTGAAAATATAAAAATTGAAACTACTGTGGAAACAAAGACACCTACATCTTGAATTTCCTTGAGGTAAGATAAAACATACCAAAAATTAATTTCAAAGTGAACTATCCCTTTAAGGGCTTCCTGTGGTTTTCAGTCCAAATAAAAGTTTGATGGTGTAACATTTGAAAATTAAGCAATTAAGAGATACTTATATTGGTATTGTAATATAAATTATTTGAAAAAAAAAATATTACTATAGTATTTTTTACAGTAGTAGTATTTCTTATTTTAACTAAAGTAGCATCCACAACAGCGGATGATATCGTTCTGTACGCTCTGCAGTTTTGTCGTCTGCCGCTTTAAATGCTCAAGTTCTTTAATGCAGGATGGATTCTGATTGGCTTAGGGCTGCAACAACTAATCGATAAAATCGATTATAATCGATTATGAAAATCGTTGTCAACGAATGTCATTATCGATTAGTTGGTCTGATTACGTCACGGGGATTGTTTACGGAACATGCGCTTCTTACATGCGCTTCATGAGGCGCACATGCAGTCTCTCTCCCTCGCCGCTTCTACCCTGTCTCGCGCGCACAACACGGACAGTTTGGAGCACATTATCTTCTGTCTCGCATGCGCACTCTTGATTCAGTGAGTTTGAACTAATTTGCGGTCATCAGGAAACCGCTATCAATATGCAGCACACGAAAATCATTCACCTTTCGGTAAATTCGCCGTTTTGAAACCAAAATAGGTGACCTACGTTAATCGTGTATACTTTATGAAGCCATACTATAGTATAATGTGAGATAGAAATGTATATTTAAGTCATTAAATTCAAGTTAACCTAAGCTTTTCCCTCCACTGCGGCTGTCAGTCATTCAACAGCGCGTCGCGTTACAACAGTTAACATGATGATCTCTTTCCAATGATTCAATGTTATTATTATAATTGATCCGTAGATAAAGGTCTATGATGGTTTTTCTATCTTGCTAGACTTTTATTGCTGTAACTTAATCACTTTCTACTGAGTGTCTGTTAGATCACAACACTATAGTAGAGTCGGCGCAGTATAATTGTTCTTCACGTGCACAGTAGCCTAACTGAAATTTAAAACTGTTAAAAGAAAAGGCTTAATAAACTATTGCATAGATACTGTATACACTGTCAATATGTCTTTCTCTTTCCTTGGTGCTTTTAACTTTAATGCGGCGGACACTGAAGAGCTGCGCGCCGCCCAGTGACTCCGTGTTGCTTCAAGCGCGTCATTCAGTGCTCGCGATGCGCATTTGCACTCTGTGCAGCTCTTTCATGATCATGTCATAATACTTTTTAGCGCAATGAAAGCTTATTAATAGCCTTTCTTGTTCTGTCCTATCTATTATATTTTGCTTCCTCACTAAACAGCTTTAAAACAGCTGTGCATCTGATTTTACGATGTTTTTTCATGAATGTATAACAACAATACAAATAGCAATGTGTACGTTTTACCAGAGTTAGTGCTACACTTCTTGTCTCTTATTTGTTCCCCACTAAGGAATGTTTTTTCACTAAATGTTTAGATTTTTATAAAATTATTGTGCACTTGTGATATTTCTAGGCTAAGTTTTGCTGAGTTATCCACTAATATAGTTTACAATAGCATTTTTGTCATAGGTTATGGTCATATATATTTTTTTTATTTGTTGTTTTTCTTTATAATGAAGTTATCTGTATTAAGTAGATTGTTTAACACACAAAAGAGTGTGGTTTTTAGGGTTTTATTTTGTATAATAAACAAAAAAATGAAATATAATTTTTTATCCGATTAATCGATTAATCGAAAAAATAATCGTCCGATTAATCGATTATCAAAATAATCGTTAGTTGCAGCCCTTAGATTGGCTGTTCATCAGCTGGAAATATT